CCCGTCGCAAATCAAACTGGTCCCCGCGTGCCCTGGCAGCATGGGTGATGCATGGACCTGGGTACCACGTGATGACTTAGCCCCCTCCCCCTCCCAAAAAAGCCTCTTTTCACGCTAAAGCAGGGAGCTCGGTGCAGCCTGGAATGCAGGCACCCAACCGGGAGCTCTGCCCCCAAGTCGTAAGTCATGGTCACTCCTTATAGGAATTACTGCTGTCCCTCTGTTCTCCATTACTCCCACTGTCCTGTAGCTACTTACTTACTTATTCCTTTTCAGATTCATCAAGACAACATCTGACGTCTTCTATCACTCTCGGAATAGCTAGAGAAATGCCAGAAATACGCAAAAAAAAGAACTGAGATCTTTTTCTTGACCGTGATGGTTTCGGCTGACATACGAATTACGTCAATATATGCACATGCAATGTATACCAAAAATACACTGTACTGTTTGTACATTGGTATCCTTGTTATTGAGTGTTACTGTAAACTAATAAGCCTACATTGAGCAATGGTGGCACCCTGATTCTTATATGCGTTCAGAAGATTTGGAAAAATCAGCAGAGCCTGAACCCCGTTAGTCACGTTGACCATGAGTCTTTTACATGCATATTATGCCTTTGTAATTGTGCACACACACTGTACACTGCAACCAACCAGTCCAGTCACACTGCAATTTTCTTTCTGATAACTTAGGGGAGACCTCAGCTCTTCGCCATCGATGTCTGATCTGATCGCGTTCGGAAGGAGGTCACAGTTCAGTCTGTGTAGGATAAATTGCTGGTTGAAGTTGTAGTATTCCAACCAGCGCGAGAAGCTTCTTTTGCGGCTAAGGCTGATTTTCAACCGCTGCTGCTATTTGAGAAAGTCCAGCATTTTTATAAATGAGCTTCCCCAGCACTGACAGAGCTCTCCCCAGCACTGACAGAGCTCTCCCCAGCTAGCCTACCAGGTAGCAACAATGCATGGCTGGAGAGATCTAGTTTTGGGAGGAAAATAATTGCCAGAAGTGTCAGCTGACCACAGCAAGTCATGATATCAGAATCGCCCTTGGAACGAGCTGTAACATATCACGGCTTTAGCATTTAATTGCATTTTGTGGTTTATAAAATTTGGCAAAAATAACACATCAACAACATTAGCCCTGTCATAACACAAAAGCAAGGAGGATATTCTATTCTGCAGCCATGGCTCTTCCCGATTCAAAGAAAGCAAACTATTTGTATATAGCTATTTGTTTAAACGATGGCTTGCATTATAATCCAAACTGAGCTTTGCTCAGTAATAGCTACTTATCTCTGGCACCTGAAATGAAACACATCAACATCCTGCCTGTTTACTTTGATCAAGCCCACGTTATTTGGCGGCAGTTTCTCTTTTAAAACCTAAATATCAGATGCTGAATTCTCTCCCATTGAGCAATGCTGCACAGGCGCGCTAATGAATGCTTCAGTGACATTTTTTGAGTCATTGGTAGTCGAAATATATACCAGATAAGAGAGGAAATGCAGACTTGAAGGGTGAAACCATACAGCTCAAAACCAAACTGTCGTACTACTTTTGACAGTAAGTAGTTAGAAAAACTGTACATATAAAAGAATGTAGGTCCTGATAGTAAGATCCACTAGACCAAAAAATCTCTGTGATCCAGTGTAAACTTGTGAGTCAGGCCTTTTCGCTCCAGATATGACTAATGCATGAGTGTCGTACTAATGAAGAACCCAACAGAAGCCACGGTTCTCTGAATGTGCAGCAAGGTCTTCAAGGCCTGAGCATAATTTGGTCTGTAACTGTTAAGCCTAAGGCTCTTCCCTCAGTAGCAGCAGGTAGTAAAATTCTTACTTAACTGAAGTTGTGACCAGAAGGGATCCTACTCTTGCATCGCTGAGAATGCAACATGTTAGCATTAATACGTCATGAATGAATGCATTTGTTATTGTGAGCCCACAGTCATTTTGGACATAGGTCTCCACTCGGAATTTAACGGTGCGATACGATGACTGACGTTATTATTGGAATTCAGACGGGAAGAGGCACAGATACTCTAACCTCGATCGCATGAATAACTCATCATGGGACACATGCCTCAAAGTCATAAGGTGCCAAAGAAAAGTATGAATGGAAGTCATGCCTACACTGCTGAATAGCACATTGTGGGCATTCTTCACACCGTGAATCAGAGCAAGTGATCCTGAATTTTATGAATACAGCATGCCGTACTTCACATCTTCAAAGGAGCACTAGAATCCTTCTCTCGACCTGGTGATACTCATTAACTGTAAACAATGGTGTAGAATGCTCAAATCTGAATTCTGTTGTCAAGGAGACCAAAACTGTACCTGCCACTTAAATGGCTAGAGACGACAGCAGAGTTTAGTTAATATAAACACTTTAATAGGTTGATTTACACACTGATAAAACATTACGAATGCAGCCATTAGAGACATTCAGTAATTTGAAGCTGACAGCACGCCCTCCTATAACACTCGCTGAATTGGCATATGTCCAAAATTATAGCCCAAAATAAGCACAATATTACTATCCAGTCTCCCTCCCCATGGCGACCCGAGTCTTCTGTGACAGAATCTTTATAGCCATGCTGGCTCCCCGGAGAAAAGGCTTAAATTATAACACAATTTCATTGCTTCTCTGCAAAACTCGCTGTGGTATAGGGCTAGGTAGGTCATCCTTAAACTAATTATTGTACAGAGGCCCGATGTTGGAATAAGAGAAGCCCAAGAACAGCGTTTGGATTTCGGGAGGGGAAAAAAAGGATCATCGAATGGATCATAAAAGAGGTTTGCACCTCTTGCCAACATTTTTAATGTAAAAAAAGAAGCCTGAGGTGAGTTACTTTTTTAAGAAGAAGGTCACACTGTGTCCATAATACGGCATATAATCACTTGCAAACTACAGTCTGATCTATAATCTATACAATGCCTTGGTCATTGAAATTTTCAACCAAGGACAGGGAAAAAGTAATTAAGTACATCAAAGCTGCCAGATCCATGGTTTTTGTTGGCCGTCGTCCATGTGCGTGATGAAACCCCAACAGCCATCCTGTTAATTACTAAAACACCCTGCATTTTCTCCCGTGAACAGTTGCTCTTCGTTTTAACTGCCTCAATTACGGTAAATTTGTTTTGCGGTGCCATGACCGGACTCACATTTCCTTTGGAGGAAACCAATTTGCCCATCAACTCTGGAAGGCTGGTCTTTCAAAGAATAATAATAATAACCATCATCATCAGCATCAGACGAAATAAAAATCAAAAGAAGTTGTTTGTCAAGCCATGTTGGGGGAAACTGTTGTTATTATAATTCCATAATGCATTTTCTGCAATAAGAAATGTCTTGAATTGTATGGCAAAAAACGGTTTTGTCAGCTTCCCTAGAACATCTTACCGTTTTAATAAATTCCTTACTGACATACAAAGTTTTGTCGAAATACCAACAAGTCAATTTCAGAACAAAGTTCATCAGGCTTTTTTTTTTATTAATGGTTCATTACTAGCAGTGATGCTGATTTTCAAAGTATGGTTTCTGCTAGTTGTCCATTTGAATGGCCCTTTTCTTTTCTCTAGGCAACAAAGAAGAGTAAATTTAAGCTGGAGATGGCCTTTGGCATTCAGCCAGGATATTTAGCTTACACAGCGAATTCAGAGTCGTTTTGAGTAACTGCATTTAGAATCCTGACAACACAAACAGGCTAATATATAGTCATTAAGGAGCAACTTATTAACATTACAAAACCTATACACAATGGACACAAATAATAAGGTACAACTCTGACAGTAAATAAATTCATTAACACACTTTTCTGCTCGCTATTGATTCGCATATGCAGCTGTAAGCTTAAGTGACAAAGAGTCCATTATTGATTCTCCCATCTAATCTCTGCATAAGAATCTAATACAACGGCCGATTCAAGGGCAATTTAACATTTGGTTTCGCCGTCTAAAGGAGAGCTGTACACACAGTCTGGTAAATGGATGAGTAAACTATAAGATCCAAAAATAACCATAGAATAAAAACATTGTATCATTCTGTGAACAGTATAGCTAGTGTGACAGTAACTGGATCTTATACCAACCGTAAAAACCAACATTTTTAACACCCAAAGTAGAAATCGGAAATAAGTAACAATTATATTTTGTATATAATCAAAAAACAGTTTATCGTGCAAATTCTCAATATATGGGGAGTAATTTTCATTTTTCTGGGTTTCTGTAACTGCTTTACAGAATTGCAAGTCATACATGACATTTTTAAGACCTCATAAATCTGACACTGGAGCTTTTAAACTGAACTGTGAAAGTTCTCTGCGAGAACTACAGCCAGTTAGCAACGTATAAATGCACGTTATTCTGTTCCAAACTGCACATTTGACATTTATTTTCCCCTTTCCACATAAACAATGAGAAGTCAAACAACGGTTTTCCCCCACCTATAATTCTGCATACAATTTTTATGAAATATTTGGAGGCAACGACAAAGGTAGAGATAATAAGAGCCCTGCACACTAAATGCTTAGTCATGCTTGTCTTCAGATATGTCTGTTGCATGACATTCTACAGATATTTGCCATAAACATGCATGACATGGGTAACATATTTTTGCTTATGGGACAGATAATAAGCTGTGACCAAGTTAAATGTTGATGTAGTCAACTATTGGTCATGCTAAACGATGGCATTGGAGGGGTTTGATACTGGGGGGGGNGGGGGGGGGTGGTATGGTTTTATTAAAGCATTGTTGCAGTTTATTTTTCAATAAAGCCCCGAGGAGGACAAATGGAACTGCAGGAAAGATGCTGTGGGGGGGGGTGTTTGTCAGTATTAAATATTAAAGAGTTTTTATAACTTAAATACAAAAGTCTAGTTATTGGGAGTGATGAATGAACCCCCCACCCCCAGCCCCTGGGTCCCTACGTCCATGATGCTATGTAGTGCACAAACATAACTGAAGGATCTCAATGACAGGAATGAAAGAGTTGGTTACCTAGTTCCGCCTTCTCCTTAAGGACGTCCTTGAAGTTGAGGCCGCTGTTGAGCGTCGATTCCCGGTACCTGTGCAGGGCGTCCCCCTGTTCATTCTTCCTCAGCTCCCTCAGCACGGTGGGCTTGAGGGGCGCCGCCCTTAGGCCGCACGTCCACGTGGAGACGTCTGCGATTGTCCATTTCACAAGGTCCTCCAGCTTCACAATGACCTTCTCAGAGACGGCTATGACCTCATCCTGTGTGGCAGTACACCGTCATGTCAGTAGAGCAGTGATGGGTTTGCATGTTAGGCTGTGGTGAGGGGAGGTGGGGGGGGGGGTGGGGGCATGGATGTGACTTTAAACATTGTTGCAGACGCCATGCTAATCTACATCCAAGGGAAAGCTATGGCCTTACTGTCATGGTTGATGGTAAATAATGATCATGGTGCCAGATGAGCGGACCATACCGTTCTATATACCCCCATTATATAGGTCAGATTTCAGTGTCGCCATCCAAGGCTAACGCGTAGATAAACAAACAAATGAATAAATAAAAATTGCCTTTCGTTTTACTACAGCACTCCGGTCCCATTCAACGGCTAGCGAAGGATATAAAAATGAATTTCCAAATGAAATCCATTTTCTAGACTGATCCGCTTGCTATTTGGCGTCAGAAGGCTTAAAAAAAATAAATAAATGATTCTGTTGGGTTAGTGTGGAAATCTGGAAAGCACATGTGTTAGCATTTGAGAGAAATCTTCACCGCTGCCTTTCTATACTACCAATACCGCTGGTTTAGCAATTCTACGTCTTAATGGATGTTATCATTGCCTCCTGTCCATCTTTGGTCACAATATCCCAGCATAACATAATAAAAAGCAAACATTAATGGTTGCAGGGGGCTTAAAGTCTTCATTTGAAATTTTTCGGAGATACAGTGCTGTGTACGGCAGACGGAAACTTAAGCCACTTCTGTTACTTTAATACCGCGTCTCCTGTCGAAAAAAACGTCCAGAGCAGAAAGGATTTGACGTAATTGTTGTTGACTACACATTGATATTCCTGCTTGTCTAAATTTAAAAATGTTTTCTTTTTCCACTTTGGAGTACTGCATTCTTTCAGTTTGGGAATAATCAACAGCAGACTTGTGGTCATTTCAAATGTAATTAAATTGCCCATTTGATTTTGAACCAAAACCTTAAAGCAGTGTCACTATATATGAAACAGCTCTTCCATTAGAAAAGAATACATTTTCAACTTCAAATACTGAAAAGCCCCTAATTTATATCAGACGTTTCTTATACTGTATATTGTTTTTGCTCAAACATAAATAAAGCACATACATAAATACCCTGACAACTAAACTCCACAGTTTAAATCACTTAAGTCATCATCTGTCAGTTTCACCATTAGCCAGCGGTTGCTACATTTATGCCTTATTGATGCAGGCAGTGCACCATTAGTGAAAGTGTGTTACTGCACTACTAGCTAAGGACTAATGTGCCCCAGCAGCCAATAAGAAAAGGTCTCAGTACCTCCTTGACTTCCAAATAAGGCTGCCACTTCAAGGCAGCGACTGCATAGCCTAGGATGCTAAGTAATAGCCAGCGTACACAGAAGCATTTGTTTTTATGCTCCTGTAAAAGTAAGTGGGTCAAAAAATGTTAATCCCAATGACGACGCGACAAACTTTACGGAGAGGTCATGTGCAACGCCTGACCCCCCCCCCCCCCCCCCCCCCCCCCAACCTCACCACCTCCATAGCCAATGAGCAAGCAATTCTGGTGACACTCATTTCAGATGGACAGCTAGAGAAATAGTAAAAGTGCAAGGTTGTCGTCCCCTTATGTGTTGAGCTCTGTGCCTTTGGAAAAAATCTATAATAAAAAAATTCCATTCATGGAAACTTTCCATTCTATAAGTGGCAAGAAACAACCAGCCCCTTGTTATTACATACTGGTGGGATTTGAGGCATTAGTGAGGAGAAGCTGTGAGGCAGCGTAGAGCCGAAAAATCACCCAAACAGAGTCACGCTGAGCATGTTTCACCCCACTGATTCTGGGGGTCAGGGCAAGAATTCCCTAGGTCACAGGAGATTTGTACACCTGCTTCCATGCCTATTGAGTTATTGACCCAGCAACATGAAAAATGTCCCCAGCAGATCCAGAGGAAGTCCTTTACCAAAGTTAAAGTTGAACAAGTAATTTTCCTTCCAATAATAGTACTACATCATAGAGCAAGTTAATGACTGAGCCATATTGAGCACATAAAACGAACAAGAGGAAAATTAATCTATAGAGGGAGAGTGGGAGAAAATAATTACCCTTATAAATTTAAAACAAATTTGCATTGTCGTTTTGAATTTGTATACATGTCTTGGATATAAGTTACGTGATACAGAGAAAATAGAAAAACAACAGAAAATGCAAATATGCTGAGTGTCTGGGTTTCGATTAAACAGGGAAAACAAACAGCCTTTAAACAGATTAATTCAGCAGCATTTATTATTTATCATTACATTAAAGACTAGGCAAATGCAGTTCTCAAGTTTAAACACGCGAAACAGTGTATATTTCAGAACTGATCACAGATTCTGGAGTTAATTGCATTTAGCAAGCACAGAAAGGTATGAAATGTGTTCATTCTAACAATACCAACAGCTGCTTAGGGTAATTTTTACACTCATTTGTTTATTTGAGGAGCAGTTACATTTTCTCGTCCCTCCCCCCTCCCCCAGCAATTCCTGAATAGTTGGAGTCATGTAGCACCTATGAAAAACACAAAGATATATACTTCAAGCCGAATCCTAATTTCCATAACAACACGTCTGAAGGTCTGTGTTTCAACATGATTTCTGGAATACTGCATTGTCGAATGTAACCTTTATGGGGGAAAAATGATCCAATTTAAACTATAAATATATCCCAGGCATTCAAACAGCAACATGGACTTTTGCCAGGCACTAAGATGTCTCTGGACTCATGCCATGCATTTCCTCTGCAAGAGTCACAAGTCTAAAGCCATACTGCTTTGTAATTCCAAACAATTGCAGAGAGCCAGAAAAAAAAAAAGGATAGATATTACAGCCCACTTGTTGTTTTAACCAATCCTCTTTTGGGAATATTTGGAAAATTCAGCTGTAAACCTGCAGCTACAGTCACACTTTCTTGAATGCATTTGTTAATATGTAACACCAAGGTTATTCGTAGTGACTAGATGGCTGATGGAATCCGATACAGAATCTATTTTAAATACTCTGACCTGTTTTAGTTCAACACATTACTAAAAAGTCACCACCAATGCCTACTGGGCTGTACTGAGGCCCCCATCTCTGACATTCATACGAGCTGCAGTGTTTGACAATGGGGCCAATAACAAAGAAAGATGAAGTGACTAGAGGAACATGTCACTACCATTTAACCGCATATGCATCATTTCTCAAAATCACCTTTGTAAACTAGTTACTATTTCAAAGAAAAATAGAACTCCAGTGTGGTTTGGACTTTTTTGGTGGCTCCTGTCCAATTAACTACATCATTGGACAAAAAAAAAAACTACAATTATTATTGTGAAATGAGTAACCAGCAACAACAACAAAAAAAGTTGCCCTACATTAATATAAACAAACATATAAAACCAAAAGTGTTCTGCCTTCTCTGTCAGTAAATAAATGTCTGACATTATTTTTCTGGCAGTCATGAACCCATGAGGACAACATTGAAACAAAAAAAGCACATGTATAAACGGGAGTGTAATGTTGACCTCTCTAGGTTCAAGCTCTCAGTTTTGTGTTCTGCAGGCTGTCTGCCAAAGTAAGATCACTGCAAGTAGGCTGCTGTTTCTACACTGCTACTATTCTGCAAATGAATGACTACCTCAAGCCAGAGGGGAAATTACATCACCTGGCTTTACAGACAAAGAAGATATTAAAGCCTACTACCTGTATACATTTATCACAGTCATCATGGCTGTTTATTGCAAACACACCCAACGTTAACATGGAACAAAGAATAATTCAAACACTGGTCAAAGAAGTTTTATTACCTAATGAAGCTGACACTGCTTGGTCGAAATAAAGTTATTAATGAAAAACAAAAAACAAAAAAGCAGTCCGTACTGACTGCATCTCAAAAACTGCAAGGTATTTCGAAAAAACAGATGATTACTGTATTGATAATTTGGATTATTCAGTACAAATGCAAATGTAATTTAATTGTACAGTTTGCTGAGTGCATGTTCAATTGGGAAGCAATCACACAGGGTTTTAGATTACCACTGGTGACAGCCTTAAAGTCAGTTTCATTGTTATTTAGATTTCCCATATGTCACTAATTTTCCAAAAGCAGTTTTAAGTTCTAATGAACACTGCACACATTTTAGGTCAATATCAATATTATCAAGAGGCACACTAAATTAGAATATGTGGCAGGGGTACTGCCATTAAATTTTTATAGGTTTCTCTGTAATCCGTAAAACGAATGGCGGAAAACATCTTCATTAAGTGTAACCATGTAAAACGATGAAGAAAAACTGTATCAGATTTCATACCCTATTATGTTAACTACGGATATATGAAGACATACGCTGCCCTTGAACACAGTATAATCATATCTGTATTGCAGTTTAAAGATCAACAAATCATGCAGGCTAAACGTAGGCAGTAATTCACATTGCCATTTCGCCGGAGACGGGAAAGGGGAAGCAGATGACAACTTAAAGAGAGAGAGAGAGAGAGAGAGAGAGGTTGAACTGGGTAAATATGGGGTTAAGTCAAGTGTTGTTCCTCACTTCCACCTCGTTACACTGTATAAATACGGATGCGTACAAGGCCGATTCAACAGATGATACAAATTCGATATTCATACTTATTTTGCGGTGGAAACTCGACGTTTAACAAAAAAAGCTGCATATAAAACCTGTTGCTTATTATGAAAAGGAAATTTGATACCCAGCAAGGCAGAGGGAAAGTAGCCTACAATAAAAGTTCAGCGCAGACTAGATTCTCATATTGTGATCTGCTAGTGGTTGTGCTAGAAGCACAAGAAAAAAACAGGTTTACCGCTTCACTACATTACCCATATGTAACCGGCAGCTGCGTGACTATCTCCATATCCAATACTACAATCAATCGTAAGAATAATTAAGCTGTTAAAAAAAACATCCAAGACACACGGTTCACGAGATAAACCTCACGACTAGTAAACTTTTTCGCTCTTTTTGGATCAAATTACCCGCGCATTTATGAGTAATAAAAATGAAAGTGCAGCAGCGAGACGTAACCTTCATAAATGTCACTCGTCCCCTTTAAGGCATCGCATCTGCCTGCTTATTCAGCTCGCCGTTATTAATCAATTGCTACTAACCGAAAGCATTTCAATACGCATGGAGAAAATGTCTGCTTACAATACTTATTGTCTCGCGCTATGCAGCCAGCCAATTTCCGTCTTTATGAATACCCACTGAAATATTCACGGCTTTAATATAAAAGGCATGATGATATTCTGTGGATTAGGAGCGTTCCGTTCCTTGGTTAATGTGTTTATTCTCGGAACACGTCTAAGTGAAATACGCCGCTAATCAAGCATTTAAATTCGTCATTGCGCTACCTGTCATTTATCACTTTGTTCAATACAGCGCTGCCAGCATGAGTCTTTTGATCTCTCTCTTTACCTCCATTTCGTAATTTCCGCCCTATTTTACAGAACCGAGATACGGAATATTAAGACGACAAACACAATAACTTTATAATATAGCTAGGCGGGTCAAAAAAACACAACCAATGCGTTATTTTCAGCAATCCATCTGACTAAATAAACTAACACAGACCACGGGGATGATTTATAGTCCAGTTCCACTAAGGTAATTAACATGAAATGAATCTACGTTGACAGTCGAATTAGCTGATCCTTCTTACATTTTTAACAGTCTATCCCTGGTATTGACCGATCAGAGGTCGTAAACATAAAGGCGATATGTTACGTGCAATCAGATTAGATTTCGCATCATTGCCAACAGAACGCAGAGTGAATACGTAAGGGTCATATTTCACTGATGCCTTATTTGAAATTCGCTATCAAATCTTTAGGTGAAATAACTTAAGTGAGAAAATGTTAATGTTTGTATTCACCTCTCCGTGATTGACAGTTCTTCCCTGGGGAGTATCTTCTGGGAGAAAATAAAGTTTAGAGCTGGATAGAAGTTGCTTGGTCGTCCTTTCTTCCCACAACAGCTGGAGCTCTGCTATGCAAATCGGATCCTCCGGCTTACATCTTACAAAGAAAAAGTCGCCAAGGGACAGAATTCTTGGTTTGCCTTCAAGGTGAAACCTAAATGCCTTGTAGAAAACGTAAGGTCCGTGCAAACCACAAGGCGAGCCTACCCACTGCGGAAAAAGTAATAAGCAATTACTTTAATGCGTACTTTCCATTCAATAAATAATAAAGAACGCTGTCATACATACATAAATACAGCTTCTAAGGAATAAACAGTATCAGGACAGGATCAAAGAAAAAGTAGTTAGGCACAGCATCAGTGGTTTTGAAAACAAATCTGCTATACATTTTAATATTTGTAAACACGTAAAGTTTTCTATTAAAAGTTCACAATATTAATTGTAAGCCTTCAGAAATCACATGAAATGTCCGTGCATACTTTACGATAACGACAACAAAATAATGCGAAAATACAATCTACTCCGGGCAGAGTAGATAATAATACCTTGAGTGAGTTGGGCTCCATCTCGACGTTCTGAATTGATTAAACTCAACATTCTCTCCAAACTTGTTGGCTTGAATGGATTGCAAACGGTCCTGGAAGGGCGCAATATTTTCGCGTACAGTTTCTCCAAAACCGTCAATATGAAATCGGAACTGAACGAATAGAGTAATGCAATAACATCTAAAATTGGTACCTAATATTTTTCGTGTGTGCAAGATTTTATCTAGAGATAATTTTGTGCATATTCGAATGTAAATTACTCATATTTAATTCGAAATGGCGAAAGGACGGACGTTTCTGATCGTTACCTTCGTTGTTCTAGCCCCGTTTTAAAATAAATCGAGATGCTTGTTTTTCGAATATTTAAAGTCACGCGACAGAAGCAATCATTTTAATACTGTTCCGTATGTATGTCGAGTAAATTAGCCACATTTTGATCTCTATTCTTCTATTTTTTATGCTAGAGCGCATATGTCTCTGACAGGACCTTTGTTGAGGACGTCTGTATGTGTAATAGAACGAACATTTCCTGCAGACCTACAAATATTCAGGGGCGCTCTTCTTCCTATTTCTCGAATGCATGTACTGTATTTTATTAGTGTCAGACGTTTGAACAATATTTTGCACCAAAATATTTCCTCTTAATGACTTCGCTAGTGGTGAGGAAAAATGCATTAACTGGCACAGTGCTTCAAAGATGACTCGCAGCTAATATAGTCTACTAGGTAAATATTGGTTGCCAGCTTTATATAAATAGCTACAGCAGTTCGGGTTTAGAGAGACACCGCAGTAAATACATAAGCAGGCATCACGAGATATGGAAACAATGGCAGCGTTGAATGTGTGTATTGTGTTATTGTATGGGGGGGTGGGGGGGGCGCGTGTGTGTCATAATTAAAATGTAGTGTGAAATGTATCCGCGTCTTTTTATAAGTATTTCTAGTAGTCCTTGCGCGAAAACTGCGACAATTTTAATTAGCTTTATTTGGTAAGCGTCCACGATGGTACGATTGTTATTCTTGGCCGCGGCTAGCTTAATCGTATGAACAACTTGTTAAAAGCAAAATAAAGTTTATAAAATACCAACACAATATTGCATATTAAATACAAGGTGTTGTTTTAGCCTCACTCGTTTTAGGGTAAAGCAAAATAATTTCAGTGGCCAGAGACCGGCGAGTGGGTTAGCCAAGAAAGCAGCGAATTGCTATGAAAGGAAAATCTGTTAATAGAGATAAACAATTTTTAGAGTGGTAATGAATAAAAACTCTCCGAGCGACTGTGTTTAATGATAGTGTAACTTTAGACGAAGTCCTGGAGTGCTTTTCCTGCTCTATAATTGAGACTACAGTATCTATAATGCCGTTGTCACAATATGAAAGTTAAGACACATGTTTAATAAATTACAAGGTGCAGCATGTATGTCAGCTATTTTTATGCCTTATGCAACGTTTTCCCTTATTTAAATCACGAGGGGTCCGGAACTCAATTATGTTTTTCTCAGAAACAGATGAATTTCTTAAAGGGAAATATTGCACAATCATATTTTTATGTCCACCATAAAATCAATGATACCGTCATCTGATATATGCAAAAAAACGAACTGCTTTCAACACACAAGAATGTCATTAACTATATATAGATTAAGGGGATTTTAGGTGGGGGTGGGGGCACGACAAGACGAAGCACGCTCGGTGGAGAATGTGACTAAAATGTTGCAATTGACTTGACAGGGCGTAACAAGGAAATGAAAGCGCTTAGACAAAGAAATAGCTAACCCTTATTCTGTGATTAAAATATAAAGTTGTAATTCAGTCGAAACAACATTATATCACAGCGTATTGCATATCACTGCTTCCCAGTTTAAAACGTGTTCGAGTGTAATTTCATGATTAAAACAGGCAGTAACGCATAAAAAATGTTGCGTGTCGCATTATGCATAGTTTATTTATTTATTTACGTATTTATTTATGCATATTTCTGCCCCATTTTTTCGCTAGAATGGGCGATCGCATACAGCAGTAGTCTGCGGTAGCTCGCAGAAAGTACCAAAGAAAGAATGCTGTTACTTCACCTTTCTGTTTAAACAGCATTTGCATAATACAATGCACTTAGTTCGAAACGCATTGGGGTTTGGTTTTGCTTTGCTAGTTTTTACTATTTATTTAAGCGCGAGAGCGCAGGGGGGAGGGCGGTTCGGGGGAATGGCTATTGAATGATATCAGAGTATTTCATAAGTACGGTCTAAAACACCATAGGGAGGTGTGCCAGAGAATCGCATAAGTAACAATTCAATCTTTTCAGCTCCAAATGAATATGGCTTCCAATTCTCAGTACAGTAGTAAGAGTTTGTTGGCGTTCTTCTTATGAAATCAAGTTCGAAATATATGTTACTGCTACTTCTAAAACACAAACACGTTATACTTATGGTAATTATTTAACGTAATTTGTATATTTTAATTCTCATTATACCACACCAACGCACAAACCAGTTGTGAGATAAAGCACTGGAGGATGAATTATCTTCCTTTCATTGTGACGCCGACTGTCAGTAGATGTATCTTACTTAATCATTGTAAAGTAATGCTTTAGTTGATGCGGTGAGAGGGTAGTGGCGAGTGTGTTCAACGGGCCATCAATCACTCCGCAGATGTAAAACATCAGACAGTGACACACTGACACTATGGGATGAAAGGACTGCCCCTGCAGTGCAGTATTCCTGCTATTATCTATATATACATTGTAGAAATATGGGGTTCCACATATACATTCACACTTACGTATGTGTGTATATATACACAGATATATATAGCATGAATGTGCATATATATATATATATATATATATATATATATATATATATATATATATATATAGCTTTGGAGGGCATTGCTCTTGTGCTATTAATTGTGGATTATATATAACCATACATGCTGCCATGTATTAATCTGTGTCTTTTTGTGAATTTCCATTGTCATAGAAACTGCTAGCTGCCTAGCTTTTATCATGTACTTACACTAACAATGCACTCCCACCAGAACATCAAAAGAATATTTCGGTGCAGCTATGTGAACAGTACTCAAATATTGCCTTTATTTGCTTAAAATGTCACAGTAATAATAAATGATGATAATGGTGCTGCAAATTATTTGCTTTACAGATTGTGTGTTTCAGCATCTGCTGTGCAGCATGGATTTCTCGTTGTTGGTGACAATATGAGTATACCAGATTGATAGCCTAATCTTTCACTATTTTTTTTTCTGCTGCTGGAAGCATTTGGAGTTTGAAAGCTTAGGGAAAAATTGAATTCTGTGTCTGGGTGTGTGTGCGTGTGTGCGTGTACGTGTGTGTGTGTGCGCGCGCGCGCAAACCCCTGTGTGCAAACTCATTAAATTCTGCCTGTCTATTCATCCTTACAGACATGCAATATTCAATAGTATTCACATTTCGTCGAAGGACATGACTGAGTGAATCATGTTATTTCAAAATTGTTGCTGTTTTGAAATATGAATGCCTTCCATCTGAATAACTTGCTCGTTATAGTATTTCATTTACATAAAATAGGTTCAAATGAGCGATGCATGTTGTAATTAGAGTAGCATTATTTTCTGCAGCATGATCCTGTTTTTGGTAGATGTATGTAAAGAAGCCTTGGAGTGTTATTCCTGAGCCGTTAAGAACATGTTTTGAATTCTGAACGGTGCTGCTTCATCTCTGCATTCCTGTTCCCATGGCTTTTAATGGGCCTAACCTTACCAAATGATTCAGACAGAGAGATCACAAAAAACGGCGTCAGCATTTTCCTCCTTTGGAGATAATATATAAATTAATGACAAGTCATTAAATAGAACTCTATACTGCTGCCAGTGGAGCACATTGTGTATTACATGATTATACACTTTCAGTTATACTAGTCAAACATTAAGAGAGATAACACTGAAATGTATTCTTACATAGTATCATTTTATACTAGGAAATGAAATAACTCACTACAAATTGCTCCACTGTCAAACTGTGAGATTTTTTTTTTCTCGTATGAGGAATGTTATCTTTGAGCTTATATTATAAACCATATCATATTATTCCAAATTGTAATTAGTAAGCAATCGTAAAACATGAAGTGAAATGCACAGTCCCATGGAAAGAAATTACCTTCCTGTTGAATACTGAGGGCATAATGTTAAATTCACCGTATACATAGCCAAAGTAAACAGTTAAGAAATCAAACAATCACAGTTTATACTATGAAAGTGTAAGATGGACAATGTCACACTACTGGCCAGTTTTTTTCTGTTTCTTTATGTCTTGATGTGATAAATCAATAAATTTCTAATGATATGAGAGTGAATCGGATCCTACTTCAGGAAAACCTGAAAAGAACATTTTATTTTTCGGTGGCGTACAAGAAATTCATTTTAGAAAAACAATCGCAAAAGGAACTGGCTATTATTACACACGTGTTTTATTGTTCGATTCAATTTATTCAGTTTTTGCCTAACATGGTGCCCAAAAACAATAGCCGGTCTCCCTCCCCAAAAGCAGGCTGCAAACATTTAACAATTTACAGTATATAATTCATACACAGGGGCTGTCAGAGATGAGTGAAAATGCATGCAAACAGCTTAAGGCAGAACAGTATTCAAAAACCATTTTTAAAATGTAAACTCACTCTGTACAAATAATTATATATCACCTGCACGTGGAGGCTGGATTGAGGACAAAGGAGTTTGTCTCTTGCATGTAAAGACTGCTGGTCTTTGTGATTAAATTTAAAAAATATGTAGTAACTGAAGTAGAGTGTCTGCAAGTTAGTTCAATGTGTGCATTCAGAGATGAAAATACACTGTTTTTAACAGCATAAAATATTCAGTATATTCATAAAGAATTTAGTCACATAACCTGATTCCATACATATTACCTTACAGTAGGCATCTTGTCTTACCATTTATGGGTAAAATCCATGAAATGACTCAGGAATGTTTATGAATCCTTCACGTATGAACACACTAATATAAAAATAGCCAAGGTTGTGAAATCACAGATTATTTAACTGTAATTTGTTCATGTTCTGGCAGATGTGATCATTCATCCATTTGCAATAACTG